AAGTATTTATTGTCTGTATCAATGATTTGGATTGCAGCTAAATATACTAATATGTTAATTATATAAGGATACAGGGGAAAGTGTGTTGTGACGGGTTTACAAAGAGTCTGCACAGGGATTTAGGTAAAGTGGCAAACAATTAGCAGATGGAGTAAAATGAGGGAAGTCAGAGATTGTTCAGGAAGACTAGAAAAGCAGACTATTATTTAAGTGAAGAGAGAAGCATAATCTGAAAGGGATATGGGTATCCTTGTTCATGGTCACATAATGTTAGCATGCTGGTACTGCAAGTAATCAGCAAAGCTAATGGATTTTTTTTTCTTTATTCATTCTCAGGATGAGGGCATCGCTGGCCAGGCAGCATTTATTGCCCACCCCTAATTGCCCAGAGGGCAGTTAACAGTCAACCACATTGCCGTGGGTCTGGGGTCACATGTAGGCCAGACCAGGTAAGAATGGCAGTTTCCTTCCCTAAAGGACATTAGTGAACCAGATGGGATTTTTCGACAATTGAAAATGGGTTCACAGTCATCATTAGATTCTTAATTCCAGATATTTTATTGAATTCAAATTCCACTAATCTGCCATGGCAGGATTCAAACCTGGGTCCCCAGAGCATTATCTGGGTGTCTGGATTAATAATCCAGCGATAATACCACTAGGCCATCACCTCCCCACTATACACTACAATACAGTAAACAAAAGGTAGAAAGTGTTGGAAAAAAACTCAACAGGTCTGGCAGCAAGTGTGGAGAGAAAGATAAATGTTCAGTGACCCTTCAGAACTGAAAGCTGAGAAATGGTAATATTTATGCTGATGACCGATGAGGGGCTGAGGGAAAGGGGGTGGGGGTACGTGTGAGACCAATAGGTGGAGACAATGACCAGAGTTAGAGAGAGAGAGAAAGAGACAGACAGAGAAAAAAAGGGAAAGAGACAAAGGGATTGATGATAGGAGTAAATGCTCAATGTGTGCTAACAAGAAGTGTAATGAGTTGAAAATGGGTTGGCTGTGCTGGGAACAACCCTTGCAGAACAGGACCTGAGGGTGTGATAGTGGGTAAAGAAGATGGAAAAGAGCGTTTGCACTCTGAAATTATTAAACTCAATATTGAGTCCTGAGGTTGTAAGATACCTGTGGAAGATGAGGAATCCTTCCTGGAGTACTGCAGCATGCTTGAGACAGAAATGCTTGCTAGGGAACATACTGGTGTGTCGAAGTCGCAGGCAATGGGAAGCTCGGGGTCATTTTTACAGATAGAGGGAAAGGTTCCACAAAGTGGTCACCCAGTCTGAGTTTCTTCTCCCCAGTGTAGAGAAGGCCACATTGTGAGCAGCAAATACAGTCAACTAGATTGAATGAAATACAGGTAAATAGCTACTTCACCTGAAAGGTGTTTTTGGGTCCTTGGACAATGAGAAGGGTGGAAGTAAATGGACAAGTGTCACACCTTCTGCAATTGCATGGGAATATGCCATGGGGTGTAGGGAGGTGTTGGAAGTGGAGGAGCAATGAACCAGGATGTCCCAGAGAGAAAACTGACAAGAGAGGGGAGGGGAGGGGAGGGGAATATGTGTCTGCTGGTGGCATCATGCTGGAGGTTATAGAAATGGTGGTTTATGATCCTTTGGATGCAGACGCTGGTGGAATGGAAAGTGAGGACAAGGGGACCCTATTGCCATTGTGGGAGGGAAGAGAACAGTGAGGACAGAAGTGCAGTTGAGGGCCCTGTCAAACATGGTAGCTGGAAATCCTCAGTTGAGGAAAAAGCTGAACGTGTCTGTGACCCACCGAAGAAAGCATCAACAGAACAGATGCGACAGAGGCTGGAAGAATGGAATGGGGTCCTTATAGGAAGCACTGTGTGTGTATGTATAATTGAGGTAACTGTGGAGTTAGTGAGTTTGTAGTGGATATTGGTGGTTAGCCTATTCTCAGATAATGGAAACAGAGATGTCAAGAAACAGAGGGTAGGAGTCAGAGATGGATGAGGTGAAGGTGAGGGAAGATTGGAAATTGGAAGCAAAGTCCATTTGAGTACCCATAGCCACATCTTTGATCTGAAGTGAGAGGAGATTTTATTTTTGTTTCAGATCTCCAACATCTGTAGTTCTTTGTTTTAGTTTTGGAATACAATAAAGTTCGGTGAGGATGCATTCCCACAGAATGTTGCAGTTGGTCATTTTTATGAATGGTGAAGATGCCAGTTGACATGCAGAGGATAAGACTTTACTCTCCCTTATACTCTATCCCCTTTCCAAAAATTAGTGAGGTTGTGTTTTAGCTAAACAAGGCATTGTTGAGGTCACATTTTGAACTACTTTGTAAAGATCTGGTCTCCTTGCTTAAGGAGGGAGATACTTTCATTGGAAGCAGTTCAGAGAAAGCTCACCAGGCTGACCTCAGGAATGAAGGGGCTGTTTCATGAGGAAAAGTTGGTTCAGGTTGGGCTGATACTCAATAGAATTTAGGAGCATGAGACGTGATCTTATTGAAACATACATTCTGAAGGTGCTTGAAGGGTGGATGTGGAGACATGTTCAATATTCAGAACATTGAAGAACAACACTGGGGAAATACAGAACTTGGAATCACATTGTCAAAATAAGAAGTCTCCCATTTAAGATGGAGATGAGGAGGAATATTTGTCTTTTACAGCAACAGAAGTCTTATAATTCTCTTCCAGAGAGAGTAGTGGGAGCTGGACCATTGAATACTCTGATGGCTGAGTTAGACAGGTTTGTGATCTACAAGGCAGTGAAAGTTTATGGGGGACAGGAAGAAAAGTAGGATTGAGGCCACAGTCTGATCAGCCACAAACTTACTGAACAGCAGGTCAGGCTTTATGTTAGAATGGCTTACTCCTATTTCCTATGATTTATGATGACAGAGTGGTGCATTGATTTACCCAGGGCAAACATCTCTGCAGATATCCATTAGAAGGCAGTAATGTTTATATGGTGGAAGGATTCTAGCGCTGTCAAACTGCAAAAGCATTAGAACCATTGAGTCATCACTAGCCATATATCCCAAGACCACAAACTGCTTTTAGCCATCGTTTAATGGTAAATGTTAGCGGAGTTAAGTGGCTTTTTTTTTTATTATTCATGCCGTGAGCATAGTTAGCTTTTCTTGCCTATCCCCAATATCCCTTGACAGCAGTTAATGGTCAACCCTATTGCTGTGGGTCTGGAGTCACATGTAGGTCAAACCAGGTAATGATGGCATGTGTCTGTTCCTAAGAGGACATTAGGGAACTGATTTTTTTTTTTGAATGGCAAGTCATGATAGTTTCACAGATGCCTACCATCCCGGAAGCCTGTTTTCTATTTCAGATTGTTTTATTCTTGGGCCAGGTGAGGAGGGGGTGGGGGATGCATGCGCCTATATGGAGTGCCTTAAAACCAAACTTGTACATCTTTGACATCTCAGAATGTAATGGATTAGTAACGCACTTTGTCTTGGGGCTTGGGTGGATGGAAAAATATAAATCATAACACTGTACTGTCCACTGATACTGCAGAATGCACAACCCATTGACATAACACACTGATAATGAAAGAAAGAGTTTCATTCAATTGCGAAGTATTCTATTTGGAGTTAAGATACTGCATTGTATTTAATCCCCATTCAAGAATATATTACTGGTACATTCTGTATGACCACAGCAACAAACCCAGGTCCAGATCACACTCATTCTCTCATGTCTTAATCCCATGTTTTCAATCTAAAGGAGTGAAACTGGGGTGATGCGCAGGCACAAAATGGGAAACAAGAGGTTGGAAGCTTGATCTACACCTGCCCAATAACCACACACTGAGATGCGTGTAAACCTGGTTGTCAATTTGCTGTTGCCCATTTTTCAATACTGAACGAAACTGTTATCAACCCCCAACATGCCTAAGTTTATAAATAATCGACGCAATCTGGGGGAAGAAACATACAAACTGGAGTAAAGCAAATATCTCGTTTAATCCAGAAATTCTAACAGTTCGATACAGTTGTGTATGTAACAAAAGCAAGGAAACTGAGGCAGTACAATGACTAAGCAAAAAGCATCCCTGGTATCTGGCATCAGTAGGATCCTGTCTCTGACATATTTGCAGGAAGCAAAATACAGCAATTCGACTTTGTTGGGGTGGGTTGGACAGTGAGGGAAATTTATGTTGCAGCCAGGCTGAAATTAAATTCAGAAAATAAATGCAGATAAAGCAAATTCTCCCATTGCCATTAGGACAGGAATAATGATATATGTCTAATCCCATCTAAAACCATATGTATTAATTTTAGGCAGTCCAATCAAGCAATCCCCTGGTTGGATACAACACAGTTTGACAGAGTAAAGCTCCTTCTTCATCAGCCTGAAGCACAAATTTAGTTTGCACACCAAATCTGTGATCTCTCACAGGCACGGATTTCCATCCAATCGACCTGAATTCAACGGCACAAATTTCCTTGGGAGGGGTGTCTTAAGAATGGTTGGCATAACATTGGCAGAAATTGCAATATCAAGGATTCTGCTGAGGTCTTTTCCAATCAGGCACCAAAGACAGACATGCTGACTGAGCAGAAGGAACCCTGCAAGGAAATGCTCTATGCAAGTCTCAGAGTGACATAGTGTGACAATGCAGCCAGAACCTTCTGGTCACTTCAATTCTTTTAAAACAGCCAAACATCATCAGGGAGGTCCTTTCCTTCAAAATCTTTTGTTTTTGTCTACAGTCTGCGAATTAGGCACTGATGTATGTATCCAGAATTGGTACTTATGTCTCATTCACCAGACATTAATTAACTCACAGGGAGGTGTTGGTTTAGTGGACTTGTAATCCAGAGCCCCAGGCTCATATTCTGGGGGCACAGGCTTGAATCCCGCCACGGTAGCTAGTAACCATTGTCAATTATTGTAAAAACCCATCTGGTTCACTAATGTCCTTTAGGGAAGGAAATCTACCACTCTCACCTGGCTGACCACGCGTGACTCCAGACTCACAGCAATGTGGTTAATTCTTAACTGTCCTCTGGACACTTATAGATGGGCAATAAATGCCGGCCAATGTCATGAATCCATACGTGAATTAGAAAAAAATGTAGCTATTCTCTGGGTCTCAGTTTGGGTATGGGCATCTTCGGGACTGAGCAATAAAGATAAAGGGGACAGGGGAAAGGGGTCGGGACCAATACAACAATTGTAAACCTTCACCTCATATAAGGCTGAGAGACCAAGGGTGGTGTTTATTCCTGAAAATAAGCCATATAGGATGAAATGGAGAAAACAATTTGTTGCTCAGACATATAATCTCCCGCTCTGGGCCTTCATGTTATATACACCTCATCTCAGACACTCCACCGCCAGCTTCATATTTCAGCACCAAATCTCTGACTCAACAATTTCCAATTTGGAGACAAGCTTCACATTAGCACTCAGAACTGAGACAGAAAAATTGGCTTTGTGTTTTTTACTCTCTCGCGAATCAATGGGACCTGTGACATTTCTGTGCACGGCTGCAAGCCACTGGCCTGTCTGCAGTCTGAAGCAAAATGCCTGAGAGAAATGTGGGGAGAATTTGGAATGGGGGGTAAAGGTAGCTAACAGCTCAGTTTTGTTTTTTTTCCCTTTAAACTTTCTGTCACCCGATCCTATGACATCAGCAGGCTGCAACCAGTTGCTAGGCAGCTCTAATACTTCTGAAAAGTTACACCAGGAAAAATAAAACCTACTGGCTGGATGGTGCTTAGGAAAAAAAAATACAAAAAAAGAGATGGATAAACATGTAATAATTAGGTTCAAATAAAGGTATAAAAAAGTGAATTATACATCCATGAAACAAAACTTACTGAAAGGATCAGTATTTACTTACAGAGCTCAGATTACATCACCCCCTTCCCCTCCCCAAATCATCATGCTTGCTCTGGTCTCAAATGGCACAGGAGATGGCATCTGCCAGGGAACAGAAAGAGGCTGTGCCAGCTCTTTGCTGCACAGTATGCAACGACTCTATGAGATCCAGACACTAAAGTGCCTGCAGTGCTTTGCGATTCCAGCTCGTGTTAACATTACTGGCTTAACTAGACCGCAAGGGGAGGAAGTGGGGGAGTTGTAAAGATGTCATACCGCTGTAGATGACTACAATTAAAACAAAAAAAAAACATTTGATATGGTATCATATTTATCTGATTTTTTAAAAAAAAGAAATTACATGAAACATCGAAACAAACTGATTGCACAACGTAAGTCACCATGCAAAATGAGACACCTACATCATGACACCCATAGTCTTTCAGGGCAAAGCCCGCACTAGTCCGTGTGGGCAGCACTGTGCACTCGGGGCTGGGCCTATTGTAGTGCAGACAAGTATATCCTACCCTGTTTCCTCCACCAGCATCCGCGGATTCAATTGCACATTTCTCTTTTAAACGCAAAAAACGAGAAAGCAAACGGAGGAGTAACGATAACGACAAAATAATACGAGAGGCTCATTCGCACACTACTTTTGCAGTTACTTTGTCCTGTAGTCACGCTGTTCTTCGTACAGGGGGCTGTGTACATTTGGTGGGAGGGGGAGTTGAGGGGCTGGAGGGCAAGGGGATAAGTCTGTCTCTCACCAACTTCCTCCAACACTGCAAGAATGCTCAGGGCTTCAGATTTCACTGAGGCCTACCAATTAGTCCTCCACCGATGACATTTCGCCTTTCAGGGGGAATTTTAGTCCTCAAGCCTTCTGCCTTCTCCTTAAAGGAGACTGGAAAGGCCGGAGACGGGAAGAGAATCTAAACACTTCGCCCAGAGTATACTGAACAGAGCAGCTCCGCTTTCCTTTGGCAACGTAGTGAACAGCCACAGTAAATTTAGGAGAGAGAGAAAAAACGTGTAGCTTTCCTACAGTCAACGAAAATGGAAATGAATGTCCATTTAACACTGAAAGAAAGGTGGTTTCGTGAGTGGGAAAAGAAAGAACAAAAAGCTGGAGGCAGCAGCAACAGAGTGCTAGGGAACTGACCGGGGGACCTACACCTAGCTTGGAGTAGACAAAGTTAGTCAATTTAACAACTGCTTCGTTCCGGTTCAGTTAAAACAATTTTTTTTAAAATTAAAAAGTGCCTTGTTCTACTCCCTGAACGGGGATCGAACCGCTGACCAGGAGGTGAGTTCACCACCTCAACTTCTCACACACAGCTGCCGGTTCTAATTCCCAGGTCAGTCACGGAAGGGGGAAAAAAAAGGTTAAATAATTAATAAACACTCAAAGGGGAAAAAAATACACCTAAAATTGGTCAGTGCATCTTTTGAGAAGAGAGTGTGTGCCTGTGTGTGTGTGTTTTTTGGAGGGGGGGGGTGGAAAGACTTAAGAAACAAAAGCAGGTCACTCCAGGTAAGTAAGTTAAATTGCCAGTAGGACCATAGGTGCAGGGAGAGGTCACAAGAACATAAAGGAGGGATGGGGTAGAGTAGGACTGCCAAACGTTTCTGTTGATAGCTGTAGACGCACTAGTGGGACATGGAGGAGACGCTGGAGTCAGTTCTGTCCTAGGCGGAGTTGTTCCAGATGGTTTCTTTCAGCTCTGAACACTGAAAGTAGTGCCGTTTGCGATGGGAGGTCACCTGGCTGCTCATCCCCTGCCGGTCCGGCCGGCTGCCGGCTGCCGGCGTCTTGGTGGACGGGAAGTTGACTGCACTGCTCCATTTCTCCAGGCTGCTCAGCGGATTGTCAACCGAGATTCCTGGAGAGGAAGAGAACGCAACGGTGGGTAAATCAGCTCCGCCTCTTTATTTTCCCCTTGTTCAGCTAAAGGTAGAGCACGACCCTGCTGCCTGTCTGTCCCTTCAACTCAATCTTCAGAGGAGAAGCAGAAATCAAGACCACAGGAGGGTATCTGTAACTCTGCTTGGTCTCCCAACTTCTACCCCTCACCCCCATAATTCAAAGTCGTTTTCATACACACACAAAAATCCCAACATTTGAATTAAACAGGATAAATACCGCAGCTAACCAGAAATGTAATGGGAACTGACATTTTATACTGAAGTGTGTGGGCAGATTGAGGAAGGTGGATCAGTAGGAAATTGGAAAGGGATAGACTGGATTTAAAAAAAGATTAGCAAACCTGTGTCACAGATGGAGGCCATTCAGCCCATCATGTTCCTGTAAAGCAAAAAGCACTGGCACAGACTTGTTGTGCTGACCAGGCTGTGTCTGCGTCCTAAGTACTAAGCAGTTCCATGAAATGGTTTAAAAAGATAATTTACCAGAGGACCTGAGTGAAGTGACTTTGCATTGAGATGAGCAGACCGTAGAGGCAAAGTGTGTCAGAGTCACACAGCCCACCTGCTCAAATACATGAGTATCTTTCCCATTCATTCCAAATCAGAGGGAGGAACCTATCATTTATTCAAACTTGCATCTGATAAACTACAAATTAATCTGTGATACTGGTACATGTAAGAAGTTTAACATTTTATGCCAAAATACTGAACAAAAATAATACATGTGCAGATTCATGCATGCCTCAAAGTCCCACTAAATAATACTCACCATTGGAAATCTAAAGAAAGAAATATTTGACAAAAGAACATGCACATATTTCAACAATACCAAAAAAAAGAAGAATCAAGTGTAAAGATAATTAACAACAATTTTCTCAAGCCAGTTTTAAAAACATTAAATATTTCACATATCGCAGCATATTAATGCCTTACCTTTTTATTTGAGCTTGGGACATGGGGAATACTGAAGTTGCAGTATTCCTTGCCCAATCCTGGTTGCCTTGAGACAACCACATAATGTGGGATTGATGCCATATGTAGTCTCAGTAGGAGTGGCAAATTCCCTTCCCAAAAGTGCACTCATGAACCAGTTGTGTTTTTACCATAATCCAGTAGGTTTTGCGTTTCTTTCTGGTGTGACAAATTACTAGATATCAATTCCATAATTTGTCATGGTGGTATTTGAACAAACAACTTCTGTAATGACCATGCTGTCATGCCTGAGACTCACATTGCTGAAGATCAATAAAAGTAGATTGTGCCACCTATATATTAATCCTCATTTACTAAGGTTCAATACTGATAGTACAAAGCTTATTTTGAGAGCAGATTACTTGTCTTCAGGCGCAGAAAGTATTTTCCAAAGAATATCTAACATGATGCAACAGAATACTGGAAACCTGAAAGAATGAAATACAGAATGAGAAATGGCCTTTCACCCCATCCAGTCACAGTCCTCTATGACTATAACCATTCAACCCCACCTCTGTAATTCTCAGAATGAAGATGTTATCTGATCCCCAACAGCCATCAAATTAAACTCCTGAATATTCATGTATTCCCCTATCCCCACTATTCAATACTCCTTCTGAGGGTCCAACAGGACTGAGTTTTGTTCTGTGCAGTATTTGATCAACTGTGTCCTCATTCTATTCCCTCTTTTAATGAATTTATAAGTGCTATTTGCAAATGTATTTATTAATTCATTAAAGCCAATGCAGTGAGGTAAATATCACACCAAATAATCAGACAGATTCATTTTGACGGGATTAATCAACACTACCAACTGGGAGCCACATTTCAGTTGCTCTGGGAAAATCTGTTGTAAAAATACATGAAAATAAATGTGGATACTGTAGTGATTGTAACAAAGTCAGCCAAGTGGATATCATAGCATGAGGTCCCCAGGCTGTGAACCTGGTCCAATCAGGGAGCCTTGGCTGACAGATATAAACAGGATTTTCAGAGGTTCTGTTCAATTTGAGAGTTGGCTTTCAGGAAGCCGGCCCAGTGTCAAGTACTATGCAGGTATGAATAAAGGGTAACTTGATGATAGGCTACCAGCCTCTGTGGAGTTATTTCAAGAGTTATTACAAATTATTTGCAAGACTTCCTGTTCTAGGAGACAGTGAGATAGGTTTTTTTGTTTATATAAAGTATGAATTGGATAGAATGAAGATGGGAATGGATAGTTGAATCCCTTCAATACAGCTCATTCATACAAATGAGCCAGAGTGAAATCAGACATTTGCAGCACAGTTATGCTGTCCTGCACACACATTTCCTATGATATTTTAGACATAAGAGTTAAAACCCAAAATCTGTCACTGATGCTAGAATGCACAGCAAAGCCTCGCAACCTTTCTTTAAAAAGGTAGCAAGCAGGATTGATAAAGAGAAGACAGTAGATTTAATACATTTGCATTTCCAGAAGGCATTTCCAGAAGGATAAGATATCACGTGTTAGTCTATTTAATAAAACAGTGCCCATGGTGTTGGGAATAGTATATTAGCATGGATAGAGAAGTGGCTAACTAATAGAAGAAAGTGTGTTGGGATAAAGGGGGCATTTTCAGGATGTTAGTCGAGTGCTAGAGGGATCAATGCTGGGGCCACAAGTATCTACAATATATATTGTATTACTTGGATGAGGGAGCGAATGAACTGTCACCAAGTTTGCAGATGCCACATAAATACGTAGTAAGGCAAGTGCTGAGGATGACACAAAGTGTCTGCAGAGGAATATAGACAGGTTACATGAGTGGGCAATAAATTGGCAGGTTGAATATAATGTGGGAAAATGTGAGGTTCTGCACATAGCAAGGAGGAATAGAGGATCTGAGTATTATTTAAATGAAGGAAGACTGCACAAAGCTGCACAACTGAGGGATTTGCAAGACTTCATGTTTAAATCACAAATAGCTAGCATATGAGTTCAATGGAAAGGCAAATGGAATGTTGGCCTTTATTTCAAAGGGATGGAGTACAAGAATATGGAGGTTTTGCTAAAACTATATAAGGCACTAGCTGGACCACACCTAGAATGTGATGAATAGTTTTGAGCCTCTTACTGAAGGAGCAATCTACTGGCATTTGAGGCAGTCCAGTGAAGATTCATTAGTTTGATCCTGGGTGTGGAGAGACTGTCTTATGAAGAGAAGTTGAGTAGATTGGTCTGTTATTGGAATTTAGAAGAATGAGAGACGACTTTATTGAAACCTTATTGAAGATTCTTAGGGGACTTGACAGGGCAGATCTGGAGATCTCTCCTTGTGGCAGAGTCTAGGACCAGAGGGCATAATCTCAGAGTAAGGGGTCAATCCAGTTAGGACAGAGATGAGGAGAAACCTTTCTCTCAGAGACTAATGAATGTTTGGTACTCTAGACGGTTTTAGAGATTGGGTCATTAAGTATATTGAAGACAGATAGATTTCTAATCAGTAAGGGAATCAGAGCTTCTGGAGGTAAGGCAGGAAAGTGGAGTTGAGGATCATCAGATCAGACATGATATAATTGAATGGCAGAGAAGACCCAGTGGGCAAAATGGCCTACTTCTGCTCCTACATCTTATTGCTTCCACAGGCACAAATGAGTGTAGCACACAGGGACAATGGGCAGTTGGATTATCATGGGCCAGGCATATAGGCAGCGCTACCCACCCTGCTTACTGTGCTGTCTGTCTGTGTGCAATAGGTTCTCCCAGGAGTATTGGGCCACTTTCATTCCATTTAAAGGCAGTCAGCATGTCTTGAAGGAGAAGTACACCATGGTTACAGGTAGAACGAAAGGAGTGTGAACATTGAAATGGTGGCTAGACCTGTATTTAGATTCTCTGAAGGCTTTGGTCAGGTTGTAGATTGTGGGGCGGGGGTGAAATCCTGATCCTTCTGGGAGAAGAAAGACAACAGCTTTCTCACAAAAAGAGAGGAATCAACCATTAAGGAGAGATCTGGTCACCAAAAAGTGTTACAAAGTCTAGCAAACCGTGCTATATGATGTTAAGCCTGCAGCTGGAACTATGGAGCTGATTCAGGGAGTGATACTCTTTTCTGTTAAGAGAAATGGTCTGCTGGTTATGGGTTAATGTGTAAATAATCTGTGGCACTTTAGACCAGAGAAGCATTCAACACAGGCAAAGGCTTATTGTGTTCTCTCTTGGTGTTACATCCTCTCCTTGTGTTTCTTCTTGGTGTGGAGAGACTCCTCTACACGATGGAACAAAATTATGTCTCAGATGCCTTCTGGTGCAGCATAGAATGACCCTCTATCACAAATTTTTAAAGCCATGTGCCGTGGTCCGAGGCTGGAAATATGGCTGTAGATGGTGGTGTAGCTAAGCAACAGCCACCATATAACACAAAGGCAACTTGTACATTGTTCCTCAGTGGAGCTGAGGAATGTGAGGTGCTTTTTGAAGATGAACAGTATGGCCTCATGTGAAGTGCCCTCCCCTTCCAACTTTCCAGTCCTGTCCCATCATTTTCTGGAAGCATTCCAGCATTACTGGAATAAGCTATTTCCAAAGTTGATAAAAGTAGCAGTAGCAATGTCTTCTGCACAACTGAGGGATTTGCAAGACTTCATGTTTAAATCACAAATAGCTAGCATATGAGTTCAGCGGAAAGGCCCAATACTCCTGGGAGACCCTATTGCACACAGACAGACAGCACAGTAAGCAGGGTGGGTAGTGCTGCCTATATGCCTGGCCCATGATAATCCAACTTCCCATTGAGCTCTGAGATGTCAGAGCTTATTTGTCATATGCAGAAAAGTAATCAAACAATGGGCCTGTGAGAAGATTATACGTTTCAAACAGATCCCATCTCACTCTTCTAAATTCCAGTTAACACAGGCTCAGATGAACCAATCTCTTCTCATACGACAGCCATAGGCCATGGCTAATCATCGAACTCAATGCTATTTTCTCACACTATCCCCATGTCCCTTGATGCGTTGA